GGGGTGCCACCAAAGAGAAAAGGGTTGGGTAAACAAAATTCTGAGCGAGTTTGGGAAAATGAAAAACAAAACAACTCAAGGGTTAGTTACTCACTCAAATATCGAAGACTAATTAAAAGCAATGTCAACATGTCAATACAATATGTAAATCAGAGTCACTATCTTGATCATTTTCCGATTTTTCATGACGCAAATGGTGTCTCCAAAGAAAGCACATGTGCAGACAACATGAAACTTTAGACTGCAGAAAATTGCACAAGCAGTTACCAAACTCGTGTCACAGAAGTGGTAAAGGACATGTGTGACAACTGAATGGTATCCTTTTGTCTTTTTGGCCAGGGGTGGGTATTTATTTTTTATTTGATGTCCGAGGTTGGGTAAAAAATGTGACTTTTTAATAGTTGGGTCAGCAAAAATTTTACCAAGAAAACATTTCTCCTCGGTGCCACCCTATGCGAAGGCAGTACTCGGCAAAAGCCAAATAAAGACAGGCTTTAGACTAAAACAATTGAATTGTTAACCAACTACTTTATGGATGCAAGCAAGAAATACTTTTATTTAATAATAAAGATGCAAATTACTTATATAATTGATACATTATTAGATCACATTCTCATAAGGGGCTGACCATTAGAAAAGTGATGGGGGGAGGGAGGGGGATGGAGGGGATTTTCGGCCGTCTGTTTGTGCTGGACCTTTCTTCGCGGAATTTAAACGTAATTTTCATTTCTTTCCTCTTTGCACGATTTTTTTTCCGACCAACCAGAGCTCCACGACCTTAACCCAATAAATAGCCAACCGATCAGACGTTGTTCCGATAGGTGCGTATTACCTGTTCGTTTGTTCCTTAAATTAAGTAAAAAACAAAATAAGCATGTTGTTCTAAAAACTCTACTTACACATAAAAACCACGAATGCTAGTTAAAAGTGGCCTGTGTAAAACACTGTACGTAATCGATAATGATTGACAGATAATCGGTATCGGGTCGATTTTTGCCTTATTGGTAGACACTCGGAATCGATAGGAATTATCTGTATTTCCGATTGTGTGAAACCGATTGTTGAGAATATACGCACTTTAAAAACTATATACATTGCACAATGATATACGTTGCGCGTTAAAAGCCTCTGAGAAGGAAAGTCAATTCCGTTCACACCCACTCACCGCCAATTCATGTTGCAAGTTGATTTCTTCACCTGGCACATGAATGCCAGTGACAATTTCAGCACGTAGTGCTATGATATCCTGTAAAAGGGAAAGAATATATTTAGCTAAAGGGGGAGGGGACATAGCTCAAACGTGACCAATGTTGTAAGTAACTTCGTTGCAAGTAACTAGATTACTTTTAAGTAACTATAACGGTAACTATTGTTACGTTTTGAAAAAAGGTAACTGTAACTGTATAGCTAGTTGCATTTTTTTACATTGAAAATTGAAATTATATAACGAGTTACTTCTCTGACCAACTTTTACGTTACTTTATCTGTTACAATAGACAGATTTAGATCGAGGACGCGGACGTCAAAGACGACGTAAAAATGGGAAAACCGTAGAAGCGTATAGAATGGGGAATGGCAGGGCTGGGGAATGGGAAATGTGGGAATAGGCTAGCTGAAGAAACTGGAAGAAGAAGGGAAACAGGAAATGGTGAACTGGGAAAGATATCGAAAAATAGAAAATAACATTTTTGGTACTTTGCTTTGTTGGCAAACACATTATTATAGCATATTGGCATTCAATTCTTAATAGTTAATCAGCATATTTAATAATTAAATATTACAATCTCAAGTATATGAAGCTGGGTACTATATGTTTGTCTCTTTATTATAATATTATTAATGAAGATTTTTAAGAGAAATATGTGTGTATAACTCTAGTTATCGGTAAAGGTAATTATTAAGATGTTTGTAGCTTTGTGCTTATTTATACAGAATTTTAGCATTAGAATGTACAATTTAACAGTTTTGATATTTATAGACAGTTTCATAATCGATAGGTCAGTGAGGACAGAGAAACGGCTTGCAAAAGGACTACCAATTAATAGACACAATTATACTCCTTCTGAATACCAAAAATAGCTGAAACTATATACTCCTGTTTCCACAGTAAAATGAATTATCAAAGTAGCACAATCAAACTTTGCAAAAACACACAACCTAATTAAACTGTTTCTATAAATATCAGGAGGCACCAATGTAAGACCTAAGAACTGACTATACCACGGACGCAGAACGGACTGTACCACATGTTTAACTGAAATTATAAAAAAGAAACAAATAGCACCCATCTCATGCATACAGTATATAATAAAAATCTAGAATTGCTGATATGTTATATAAAATATGTTAATTTGTTATTAAGAATTAATGAATGCCACTATATGCGATGGTCATTATGTTTGCCAGCAAAAGCAAAAATTTATCCTATTCCAACATTCCCCATTCCCTGGCCCTGCCATTCCCAATTCTATACGGTTATGTGGTTCGCCCACTTCGCTGTCGTGGTTTAGTCCAATTCACCCACACCCTGATTCTCCACTCCCCGTTTCCCCACTCCCAAGTTCTCGAACTCCCGTTTGCCTCACTACCTATTTGCTCCACTTCCTGTTTGCCCCAATTCAAAGTTCCCCCGGTTCCCCAATTCCCTAATTAGTCCAAACAATTCCCTGCAGATGAATGCCAGTCGTGTTTAGAAACTTTATTCGTCTGTCACTCAGGTGTAGTTTTAGAATAGATTGTTCTTCTTGGGCATGCATGTAACTATAACACACAAGCGACGTTTACAGCACTGAACGTGACCGAATCGAAGGCGTATTTTGGCGCCTCTGCCTGACGGATCCATGAATGATCGCGCATAGCACACAGCTAAGGCGGTAGGGTTTTGGTGATTAAAACCGGAAAGCCCGGAGAAAAACTCTTAAATCACAGAAGGGAACCGCCACAACTCTACTTACACGAGTTACCACGCACATCATTAAGTCAGAGCAGGAGGATATTCTTACTCATCAACTAAGAATACCTTGCCATCGACATTCAGTAACAAGCTTAGTTCAGTGGTATAAGGAACACCGACACCTCGCTAACTAACCTTTTCTCTGTCAGCTATGATCGTTACAACGTAATAAACAGGCATGCATGTGAAAAATAAACTTACATTTGCTGCATGGCCATGGGGTAGTTGTCGATAGAAAAGCAGTCCATCAGTCTAATAATGAACAAAAGTGAATAAAATGATATATAATTATTATAATAATTATATTTATATTATAATATTATAATTTGTTTGTGGAAACACCACATAAATTTATTACTGCAAAGAAAGCTGATCGAAAACTTTGCAGTAATAAATTTACGTGGTGTTTCCACAAACAAAACTATTATATATTTTATCGCCATGCAATCGATTATACAAAGAAGTTAATAATTATATTATTATATTGATGTTAAATTTGTAAATATTTCTATAAGCTCTTTAGGTGTTTTTGCGAAAGATGTTAGATGTTGGTTTTGTCTTTTGATGATAAGTACAAAATGTACTGCGTTAGGAAAATGATCACTACATGTTTGTTGCTATTAGAACTTCCTATTCCATCTTCTGCTGCCGAAATAGGGAATGGGAAAATCCCGAGTTATTAGCTTTTTAAAATATGTTATTGTATATAATCTGCATGTATTTGTTGGTTATTTTTTATTGTTTAGTTATTAATTGTGATTCATGTAGCCAATTGTAAGTTATACCTTAATAAGCGAGATTTACAATTGTATGTATGTATGTATGTATGTATAGAAAAGTAAATCATTTAATAAAGTTTCCATATTTATTATTATTATAATTATTATTACTGTCGGATTTAAATCCAATCTACAAGTTAACGCCAATCACAAGCGTCAAAAGTATTTTGATGTAATTGAAGAGCAAGAAACAAATTATGATAAAGTCAAGTTTGTTAACTTATCCTTGAGTACACTGGGCGTTTCAGTCGATTATCAGAAAAATACTAAGAAGTTTAAAATTTCATGCTCAATATAGTAAATATATAAAAAAGAAAATGGTAAACATGTGCATTCGAACATCGTATTATACATTTCGCAAACGAAACAGGGAGTGGGATATAATCTTTTTTAAATAATTACTGAAAACAAAACAAAACAAAAAGAACAAAACAAACGGAACAGAACAACAAAAACAGAACAAAACAAAACAAACAGGACAAAACAAAAAAAACTTACCATCTGTCGAAGATCATCATGTAAAGCTTCTTCATCCTGCTGTCGGTTTTGAAGTGTGGTTACTAAGTGTTGAAGTTGGTGGTTGCAGGTACGCAAATTACCAGACTGAGCTCTTGTTGCGTCTCTTTCAGCTTGTGCGACGTCTCTTTCAGCTTTTACGGCATTCCGTTCTCGTTCAGCTTTTTCGACATCCCGTTCAGCTTTTGCGGCGTCTCGCTCCCGTTCAGCTTTTGCGGCATCCCGTTCAGCTTTTATTGTGACTAATTCACCTTTTACGGCGTCCCGTTCTCGTTCAGCTTTTTCGACATCCCGTTCAGCTTTTGCGGCGTCTCGTTCCCGTTCAGCTTTTGCGGCATCCCGTTCAGCTTTTATTATGGCTAATTCACCTTTTACGGCGTCCCGTTCCCGCTCAACTTTTTCGACATCCCGTTCAGCTTTTGCGGCGTCTCGTTCCCATTCAGCTTTTGAGACATCCCGTTCAGCTTTTATTATGGCTAATTCACCTTTTACGGCGTCCCGTTCCCGTTCAGCTTTTTCGACATCACGTTCAGTTTTTGCGGCGTCTCGTTCCCATTCAGCTTTTGCAGCATCCCGTTCAGCTTTTATTATGGCTAATTCAGCTGTTACGGCGTCCCGTTCTCGTTCAGCTTTTTCGACATCCCGTTCAGCTTTTGCGGTGTCTCGTTCCCGTTCAGCTTTTGCGGCATCTCGTTCAGCTTTTACGGCATCTCGTTCAGCTTTTACGGCGTCCCGTTCAGCTTTTATTATGGCTAATTCACCTCTTACGGCGTCCCGTTCCCGTTCAGCTTTTTCGACATCACGTTCAGCTTTTATTATGGCTAATTCACCTTTTACGGCGTCCCGTTCCCGTTCAGCTTTTTCGACATCCCGTTCAGCTTTTGCTTTCGTGACATCCCGTTGAACATTTTTAGTTTCGTTTCTTAAGTTTTGAAGTGCAATCTAAGGTCATAGAGAATAAAACAATCATGTAGACAAGGCCGGAGATACGGTGTGTGTGTGGTTGAAAACATGTGAATTTACACTACTTACTCGAAAAGGATCTTCAATGGCTTTTCTTCCTGTTGGTGGGCTTATTAATTTGTCATTATCGGGCTATAAGATGAAAAAATATATAGGCTGTTGCATATATCGATATATTGACAATTGTTATAATTAAATTTATGAATATTGGTTACTCGACATTGCAATTTCAAAAAAATGGATAACCAAAAATATCAAATCTGTCCCATATTTTCGACATTGAGGGTCGATTACGTAAAATTTTCGGCCTGCAGGCTCATGAAATTTCAACTGTTGGGTTGTTGTTTGTCTTGGCCGCAGTACAAGTTTTCCCAAACCAACGGCTATGTCCGTCAGCTCTATAATATTTTTCACTCGAAATTTTTTATCTTCAAAAAGCCTTCAATATTTAGTTCTATCGAGCCAGAGACGCCCACAATCCTGACTATTTACCCATTAACCACATACATGCACCTTATACTGCATGGCATCGCCTTAATACATACACTTTAAAAACACTTTGGCTAAAATTGCCTCTGGTAAACCTATAGAAATAACCCTATTAGCAAGGGGCACCTGGTTATTTATCCAACCAACATATAGTTTGGTTAATTTAACCAGAAAGTGCTGGCCAGTCAAATGAACTATATACACAATAGGTTAAAATCATTGTTTTTCTGAAACTTTCACTTCAGTCTATTCATATTAAATATTTTGTGTTTTTAGTTTAAATCAAGGATCGCACAAGAGGTTTTTGATAATATTTTTACTTTAGCTACGTTTCGGATAGTTTACTATCCGTCCTC